GATGTTTCGTCGTGTTATCACATATCCTTCAATGATGGGGACCCTCAAGAAGATGAACATGTGAAAGATACTCCACCTGAACTTGAAGAAGGAGTGAAGACGACAGTTGATGCCTTAAAAGAAGTTAACCTTGGCACCGATGAAGAACCAATACCTACCTACCTAAGTGCTTTACTAGAAGCTGATGAAGAGAGCACTTATATTGAGTTACTCAAAGAGTTCAGGGATGTCTTTGCTTAGAGTTACAAAGAGATGCCTGACTTGGACCCAAAAGTAGAAGTCCATCACCTTGCAGTCAAAAATGGTGCTCGTCCTGTTAAACAGGCTCAAAGGCGTTTAAGGCCAGACTTGGTTCCCTTGATTGAAACCAAAGTTAACAAACTCATCGAAGCTGGATTTATTCGCGAAGTTAAATACACAACGTGGGTTTCAAGTATAGTCCCTGTAAGGAAGAAGAATGACCAGATTCGAGTGTGCGTTGACTTTAGAGATCTCAACAATGCATGTCCGAAAGATGAATTTTCGCTTCCTATTCCAGAGCTGATGATCGATGCTACTACTGGTTACGAGGCAATGTCTTTCATGGACGGTTCGTCGGGCTATAACCAAATACGCATGGCACCAAAAGATAAAGAGCTTACTGCATTTCGTACCCCAAAGGGTATTTATTGCTACAAGGTAATGCCTTTTGGCTTGAAGAACGCTGGTGCTACTTACCAAAGGGCTATGCAGAATATTTTCGACGATCTTCTCAACAAGAATGTCAAATGCTATGTTGACGACTTGGTGGTGAAATCAAGAGAGAAGGGAGACCACATGAAAGACTTGAGAATGGTATTTGAATTGCTCCGGAGATACCAACTTAGGATGAACCCATTGAAATGTGCCTTTGGAGTTACTTATGGAAAGTTCCTTGGTTTCATTGTCCGACATCAAGGGATCGAAATTGATCAAGCCAAAGTGGATGCCATTTTGAAAATGCCTGAGCCTCGAGATATCCATGAATTGAAAAGTCTGCAAGGAAAGCTAGCATACCTTAGAAGGTTCATATCCAACATGACTGGGAGGTGCCAACCATTTAGTCACCTCATGAAGAAAGGTGTTCCTTTCAAGTGGGACCAGGCTTGTAGCAATGCCTTCGAAAGTATCAAAACCTACTTGATGAAGGCTCCAGTTTTAGCAGCTCCTATACCTAGAAAGCCATTGATAGTATACATTGCGGCGCAGGAAAGGTCTGTTGGAGCACTGTTGGCCCAAGAAAATAGTAAGGGGAAAGAAAACTCTCTTTACTACTTGAGCAGGATGATGACACCTAATGAGTTGAATTATTCGCCAATTGAAAAGTTGTGTTTGGTGCTAGTCTTCTCAATTCAAAAGTTGAAGCACTACTTTCAAGCTCATGTTGTCCGTCTTGTTTCTAAAGCAAATCCCATCAAGTTCGTGATGTCAAAACATGTTCTTAGTGATCGACTAGCGAGATGGTACCTCCAATTTCAATAATTCGAGATTTTGTACATCCCTCAAAAGGCTGTAAAAGGACAAGCATTGGCAGACTTCTTGGCAGATCATCCGATACCTGATGACTGGGAGCTAACTGATGAACTACCTGATGAGGACGCAATGGTCGTTGAAGTTCAACCTCCATGGAAGATGTACTTTGATGGTGCTGCGCATCGTGGGGGAGCCGGGGCTGGCGTAGTATTTGTCACTCCCCAAGGTGAAGTCTTACCTTACTCCTTCACCTTGACACAACTCTGTTCCAACAATGTCGCTGAGTATCAAGCATTAATACTTGGGCTTGAAATGGCCGTTGATATGAAGCAATTGCAATTGCAAGTCTTTGGTGACTCCCAGTTAGTGGTCAATCAGCTTTCGGGTAGTTACGAGGTCAAGAAGCTTGAACTACGCCCATATCATGATTACGCTAAAAGGTTGATGGGGTGGCTCGATGATGTGACTATTCAGCATGTGCCAAGGAAAGAAAATAAGAAGGCTGATGCTTTAGCTGCTCTAGCTTCATCATTAGCCCTGCCTGACCAAGTGCAAGTTACCGTCTGCCAAAAATGGGTAGTACGGCCGCATATGAGGCTGAAGGTGAAGAAAACAAACTCAAGCATCTTGTTGCTGTTTCTGAAGTTGAGAAAGAAGAATGGCGATAACCCATTATCGACTACTTATGCTATGGGATACTTCCAGAAAATCCTAGGAGAAGGACTGAAATCTGTCGTCGTGCACCTCGCTTCCTTTACTATAAGGATACTCTATACAGAAGGTCGTTTGAGGGAGTACTCTTGCGATGCCTAGGAGAAGAAGAAGCTCTCCAAGCTTTACAAGAGGCACATTCTGGGGTATGTAGGTCACACCAGTCTGGACCAAAGCTCCACTTCCATATAAAAAGGATGGGATATTATTGGCCAACGATGGTAAAAGATTGTTTGGACTACGCTCGAAGATACAAGGCTTGTCAATTCCATGCAAATTTTATTCATCAGCCTCCTGAAGTGTTGCACCTGATTGTTGCATCCTGGCCATTTGACGCTTGGGGATTGGATATTGTTGGACCACTGCCAAAGTCCTATGGTGGGCACCTATACATCTTGGTTGCAACTGACTACTTCTCAAAATGGGCTGAAGCGGTTGCTCTTAAGGAAGTAAAAAAGGAAAATGTTGCAAGTTTCATCTGAGTAAACATTATTTATCGCTTTGGCATTCCTCGTTACATAATAACGGATAATGGAAAGCCATTCGATAATAGGTTGATGGACAGTATTTGTGATCTCTTTGGCTTCAAGCAACGTAACTCTTCGATGTACAATGCTGCCGCCAATGGTCTAGCTGAGGCATTTAACAAGACTCTATGCAATTTGTTAAAAAAGGTTGTCTCCAAATCCAAACGAGATTGGAGTGACCGTATGGAAGAAATTCTATGGGCATATAGAACGACTCATCGCACGCCAACACAGGCGACTCCTTCTTCACTCGTTTATGGAGTCGAAGCTGTCTTGCCACTTGAGCATCAAATACCTTCGTTACGACTGGCTATTCAAGAAGGGATCACTGATGAAGAAAATGCTCGACTTCGATTAGCAGAGTTGGAAGCTCTTGATTTAAAGATATTGGAAGCTCAACAGAGTCTTGAATGTTATCAAGCTCGATTGTCTCGCGCCTTCAATAAAAGAGTTCGTCCGAGATCCTTTCAAGTAGAAGATCAAGTCCGTGCCGTACGAAGACCCATAATTACTTCCCATAAACCTGTAGGGAAGTTCACTTCAAAATGGGATGGGCCATATGTTGTACAAGAAGCTTATTCAAGTGGGGCTTACAAGCTGATTGATGTAGATGGTATGAGAATCGGACCTTTCAACGACAAGTTTTTGAAGAAGTATTATCCATGAAGCTGCAAGTCAAAATGCTCCTTGACGTACGAGCCTAAACTGCAAGTCATGATGCTCTTTGACGCACGAGCCTAAACTGCAAGTCATGATGCTCCTTGACGTACGAGCCTAAACTGCAAGTCATGACGCTCCTTGACGCACGAGCCTAAACTGCATGTTGCTACACTCCTGGCCCTCAAGAGTATAAACTATGTATGGCCCAAAAAAAAAAGTCCGCTATGTTGAAAATCTCGAAAGAGGCGGCTTAGGCAAAAATTAGGACGTAAAAAAAAAATCTACCCAATATGAACTACGGTATGACTTGATCCTCTTCACCGAGGTACGTAGGCAGCTTAGAGTTTCATTCTAAGTTCAGTCGCATAAGTTCAAAAGATACATATTGCCCCAATTGTTGTTCGAGTGAAATATGGAGGAATGCAAAATCAAGCTGAAATGCCATTTTCTTGTTGAACTTTGATCTCATTTGATTTAAAAGGAGCAACCCTCCATGGTAAATTGATATCTTCAAGTCCGTCGGTATTCAAGTTGAAGTCCCCAAGTTGAAATCTTCAACTCTGTCGGTCTTCAAATTCACCGATCTTCGAGTTGAAATATTTAGGTCCTCCAAGTCTCAAAGTTGAAGTCTTCAAGTCTGTCGGTCTACAAGTTGAAGTCTTCAAATTTTCCAATCTTCAAGTTGAAATATTTAGGCCTTCCAAGTCTCAAAGTCGAAGTCTTCAAATCCGTTGGTCTTAAAGTTAAAGTCTTAAAATTCGCCGATCTTCAAGTTGAAATATTTAAGCCCTCCAAGTCTCAAAGTTGAAGTCTTCAAGTTCGTCGGTCTTCAAGTTTCAGTCTTCAAATTCACCGGTCTTAAAGTTGAAATATTTAAGCCCCCCAAGTTGAAGTCTTCAAGTTCGTCGGTCTTCAAGTTTCAGTCTTCAAATTCGCCGATCTTAAAGTTGGATTATTTAAGCCCTCATAATCTTCGAGTTGAAGTCTGCAAAGTCCGCCAAATCTTCAAAGTTTTCCAAGTGTTCAAGTCGATGTCGTCTTCAAGTTGAAGCTTTATAACTTTCCAATCTTAAGGCGGACATATAAGTCCCTTTGCACCTTAAGTTGGACTCTTCGTGGGTTTGTCCTTAAAAGGAACTATAACTTTCCAATCTTAAGGTGGACATATAAGTCCCTTCGCACCTTAAGTTGGCCTTTTCATGGGTTTGTCCTTAAAAGGAACTATAACTTTCCAATCTTAAGGTGGACATATGAGTCCCTTTGCACCTTAAGTTGGCCTCGCCGATAGCCGAGCCATTTTGAGAGTAATTTCTCCAAGAATTGGGCCAGAGAGAAATCTCTCCGGTAGTCAGGCCACTTTGAGAGTAATTTCTCTAAGAATCGGGCCACATTGAGAGTAATCTCTCCAAGAATCGGGCCTCGGGCCATTTTGAGAGTCATGATCTCTCCAAGAATTGGGCCACATTGAGAGTAATCTCTCCAAGAATCGGGCCATTTTGAGAGTAATCTCTCCGGTAGTCGGGCCATGAAAGTTATCCCTCCGATATTTGAGCAGGAATGAGTACCCATCCCCTCACACCCCAAGATTATCTTCTTCATGCGTGGATCATCTTATTGAACAAGAATATATCTTTCTCGCTTGACCTACAAAAAAAACAACAAAACAAGAAAAGCACAAGAAAAGAAGAAGAAATTACCTCGCGCCAATGCTTCCGAGTAGCCAAAAGTGGACACAAGGTAGCTTGCAAGCGGAGGATATTGATATTCACGATTGGAGAGCAAGCGTCTATATACACAAGTGCCGAGGATGGCCTGCAAAGGCATAATAACGATGTGGGAATCAGTAATATGATATGTCTCCTAGAAGGGTTTGGTTACTGACGGCAGGTTAATCTTTGGTCAGTATCAATTCAGCCACTTTGAGTTGAAGAAGGATTTGGAAATTTACAAAACACTTCGTGTACAATTAGTAATACGTGGATGACAATTGCTTATACAAATAGAATTGTTCCCATCAAGATAGCCACGTAAAGAATTTCTATGTCGAATAAAAAAATAGAAAGTCTCTTTGTTGCAAAGAGCAAAAAGAGTTTCATTAATATCCAACGTAACTGATGGTTGGTCATTACATATATTCATACAATCCGAGTAACATGTTAATACTTTTCTTAATTCAAGGAAAGGGAGGATTCTATTTCGGGATAGCTTTCAAGTAATATATATATTACGTGTACTTCAAGTCTAATCCTTGAGTCTCGATCAGTCTACGCTATGATAAGTCTTGAAGTAGGGGGCATTTGTAGGTATATAAATTTTATTAAAATTAAATTCATAAAATAATTTGGACTATATTTTAAATTCAAGATATATTGGTCCAAATAAATATATGGGCTAATATAATTGAATTAATTATATCAGTCCAATATATATGGATTAAATAAATAAGTCTTAATCCATTGGGCTAGCCCATTTAATTGGGCTAAAGTGATGAGCCCACTTCATTAAGCCCAAAATGTCATCTTCCTAGAGGTCCAGTTTGATGCCACGTGTCAAATGACGTGGCGCGCCAAGTCAAGAGGAAGAGCCAATAAGACCATGCCACGTGTCAAAATGACAAGGCATGTCCAGTCACGCTAAAAGGCCAATGAAATCGCGCCACGTGTGCAAGTGACATGTTCTGGCCAATCAAATGCAGTCATGTCACACTTCAATTTGATTGGTCGGAAAGAGTTTGTTCTTATCACAACTCTTCCCTTCCATAACTATAAATAGGGGTTTTCATAACTCAGAAAAGACACCAGAAGTTATAACAAGAAGCAAGAGAGGGCTCGTGGATCAAACGCCACAAATTTCTCTACAAGTTTCAAGCTTCTAGCAATCGAGTTCAAGTTCAAGAAATCAAGTTCAAGCTCAAGAACGAAGAACGAATCAAGATCAAGTTCAAGCAGTCAAGCTCAAGAACAAGATCATCGTTCGTGGAAACAAATAAAGATTCAAGATCAAGCTCAAAGGCCCTTGAATTTATTGACTATTGGAAGGAAGAATCAAAGGATTTATAGAGATTGTAACACTCAAAATATTTGAAATCAAATACTACGATTGTTGCAATATTTTCGGTCTTGATTTTATTTTCTCGACGCAAATTTATTGTCTACAGAGACGTTCAAGTAACTCACTCTACGAGACCTCTAAGATCTTGGTACCTCAGCAATAACAATAACAAATTCAGTGTAATCTCACAGGTGAAATCTAATTGGTACCTCATAATACAACTATTACAAAACTTACATTTTCAATTGGTCTAAGCTTTCAAATAAATGTAGCTAATTACATCGGCAAGATCCACAGAAAATAGTATCGCCGACAATTTAATACAGTATTAAATTATTTTATAACATTATTCCGGATCTTAGTCAATGCCATTGGTTTAAAAAAGAGTAAGACAGAACTTATCGGATTTAAGTAATTACAACTCATTTGCCCTTTTCGGTAGAGTGGAGACCTGAGAAGTAACTCAAAACCAGCCCTCGAAATGTATTCTCCTCCGCCACCGGGAGCTTTCATTGCCCCACCACCACCGCTGCCGCCGCCTCCACTCCCTTTCGCAGAGCCACCTCCACCTTTACCAGCTCCACCACCTCCTCCTCCTCCTTTCCCTCCCCCTCCTCCGCCTTTGCCACCACCCCCTCCGCCTCCTTTACCACCTGGCATTTCACTAGCTATATGATTTTTGATAGATTATATTACTCTTACGAAGTATAGTTGGCTCTCCTAACACGACTGCCATTTATATACAGAGTTAATTTTGTCTTTACCTTTTAGAGGATAAGGTCTGACTTAACCAGATGAGAATCCTGAATTTAAAGTTTATGGATTAATACAACGAATTCAAGTTAATATACGATACTAATTGGATTCACAATCAAATATTTATTTACAGTGGCGGATCTAGAGGGTAACGTGCGGGTTTTCGGAAACCCAATAACTTTTACACAATCTTTGTATATGTATTAAAAAATTTATTAAATATCTATGAATATTTAATTGTGAACCCAATTAATAACTTGAGATCATTATAGGAATTCATAAACTTCAAAGTCTGAATCGGTCTCTGCCTATATATATTTAGTAGATTCTTCAATAAATATACAAAAGCTGATCGACTAAATTACTGAATTTTTATGAACTCATAGACTACAAGCTAGACCCGCCTCTGAATTTAATACCATACTCATGCTTATCAGAATTTCTCGAAGAACAAAGGTGACACCCTTATTTTGCATGCATGCAAATATGTAATGTACGTATGCGTGTGAATGCTCTATAGAACGTTTTGTTTTCCCAAAGCAACAGCAGCTTGGGAATATCACGTGGATAAGTGTGGCCATATATTCAACAACAACAACGACTCAGTATAATCCCACAAGTATCATATATTCAGGCTTTTCAAAATTAAATTTCTTGAAAACCAAATTAATTACACACTCATTTTGCATGCATATAAGCCAACGCTTCATTTCCAAAGCAACAGTATTACGTGGATAAATATGAAAAAGTTGGACTGCTCTTGTATTTAATGATATGGATAGACACAGGTAGAGACGCTTACCGAATTTTAATAATTATGATTTAAATTTTATTATAAGTCATTTCATATATTGAATTTGAAATCTATTATTTGTATGTGAGTTTTAAATATTTATACGATCTAAATTTATTGATTTTGGAGTAGCTCATAATTAGTTATACACAGTATCCCGGGCACACCTTTTTTTGTTTGTTCCCATAAATAATCTACAGTATTATATAGAGGTTCAGGGTACGAGCATGTGTTATCTTATGATAATCCATTTAAAATTCAACAGTTACATAAAATCAAGATAATCTTTACTGTAGAAAAATAAACGATACTACCAAATAATAGGAAAATCTGTCACATTATAACCACCGAAAAATGCAGCACAATGTTACAGATCCTAGCTCGTTAACATTCTTAGCTGGTTCTATATATATGTTTAATATACAAAAGTTAAAAACAACAGCATAAAAATATATGTATAAATTTTATGAGATAAGGGACTGAAATGTATCTAGCCAATATACTCTACTCAAGTTTAATGACATTTTTTCTTCTTCTATGTACTAGTGATCAATCTGATCTAAACCATACATGACAAGGACTTGTTGCGCACACATCACAATTAAAAATCATATATAATATCCTTTTCTTTTCTCTTCTTAAAATTTGTATATCAATTCTTACATGTGTCTTAAGAATTAAAGTAACGGATCTGAAAAAATTATGTAACTCAATTTTTTAAAAGGTACAACTAGAAGCACAACTTATAGTATATCATACTTCATCAAAATGTTTCTTTTTATATATTTGAATGGAGTTTTTGGCCAATATTATCCCTTATCTTTGAAGGTAGGTCTATTTAGGTCCTCAAATATAATCCTGAGCTTATTTAGTCCCTTAAAAGTGGAGCACTTAGTCTCACTAATAGAATCTGTCCAAGATCAATTACGGGGTTGGTTTCGGCGCTCACCGTCTTTTTAATTTACTTATCGAAAATATTTTATGTACCAACACCCACTAATAGTACAGAACTAATAAACTTAGGATTTTAACGTTGGAACTTTTACTTCTAAAAATTTCAGTTGATTTTTTCAAAAAGAAAAGTTAAAATTTGGAAAGATAGAGCTGCCAAGATAGGCATATTATTGAAGCAAACGAATAACCAGATTGTATTATCACTTTTAGTCTGTGCCAAAAACTATTTACATCTGGTAGCCGGAAAAGTATATAAAATTTGTATAGTTTTTTGTATATCAACATACAAAATGTATATATGTACAAAATAATATACAAATTTTATACATTTTTTGGCTATTATTATTACAACGGCTATATAGTGTCATTTTCTCATTGAAAACCGGCACAAAAGGGGATATTTTCAAGGTCAAAATTTTAGAAGAGATTATCTAAAAATGAGTAATTAAAGTGATAATTTGTGTTATCCAATAAAAGGAGAGAAAATACTTTCTTCAGAGCAGAAGATTTGCTTCACATGAATCAGAGTTGGTTAACATCATCAGTTTTTGAACACATTCTGTTCAGTGAGACTAAAGGTGTTCCACTTTAACATACTTAAAATGCTAAATATGCTCAGGGTTATATTTAAGAAACCAAAATAGAGCTACCGGGACAATATTGGTCAAAAACTCTATTTGAATGCATAATTAATCTTTTTCGAGAGGATTGGGAGCGAAGCGACTTTATTAAATTATAGATTGTATTAATTAGACAGGAGACAAGCACAGACGAGCCTTGATATAAAAAAACATAGAAAAAAAATGAAAAGAAACAACTTTAGCACATGTCGGAGAGCCAAATCATTTATGGAGATGCTCTATAAATTATGATTGTTGAAAAACAATGAAATGGTCGTACAAAAACTTTCTTAAAGTGTAAAGTACAATTCCTAATATGGCATTATTCAAACTTTATTCTATTATCGCCATTCTTCTCGTGGCAACCGTTAGTGAGTACCTATTTTTCTTTATCTCTATATTGTTGGTACACATACATGACTATGTGGATATTTTATATGTATGCACGAAATTTAAATGTGTGGTTTTATGTTATATAGTCATGATTTGATTTTCATAATTATGATGGTTAAATATTTCAGGTAATACGCCTCGGAACTCAAAGACACACGTCCTAGCTGTACTTGATGTTGATCATAATATAACTGGACTCAAGAGGAGAGTACTGTTACACCCCAAGTTTTCATACGTGAGAGTACGTCGTAAGTCATTGATGTAAGCTCGGAAATGAAATTATATTTGGAAGAAAATAAAGTAAGTTAATCATGTTACCTTGGAGGTTACAAATATTTAAGATCATGAATAACGAGTACCAAGAGGGTTGGAAATCTTAGAAGCTAAACCAATTGAAGAAAATAAGTTTCGTC